CAGTGAAGAATTCATCAAACTAGAATCCACTGTGTCAAATTGTTTGTCGGTTCTATCGGCACAAAATATTCCCACTCACAATTGGGATCCTATTCTGGTAAACATATGTACCGCCGCATTACCAGAAAAATCATTACTTTTGTGGGAGCAATCGCTCTGAAGAAGAAAATGCCCAACGTGACAGCAGATGAAAGACAAAAAAGTAGTCAGAACTAAAAAGGTTCCACAAGACCTAAATCGAAGTTTCAATAGACCCCAAGCCGGAAGCAACAATCATTTAAACAGAAGCTTTTTCAAAGCACAATCGTTCAAATCTGAACAAAATAAATTCACGTCATGCGAACTATGTACAGGAGGGCATAAGCTAAAAGCTTGCGAAAAATTTAAAAAATTTAATGTGAATGAAAGGAACAACTTTGTCAGGTCAAAAAGACTCTGTACAAACTGCTTGTCCCACTCACACAATCTTAATACTTGCGAAAGCAAATTTAATTGCGTATATTGCCACAAAAGGCATCATTCTATGTTACATCTTAATAATTTTCCCAACACATCTCAAAGAAGCGCTTTTTCAAAAAAAGCCACTGGTTAATTGCAACAGCAACTCCCGAAACAAAAACTCCAGAAATTTGCCAAGAGGCACCATGCTGCTCAAAGGCATTAAAAACAGCGAAAATCATAGTAGAGTACTACTACCCACAGCAGTTGTCTCCATTGAACATCGCGGAGAACTGTTCAAACTAAGAGCCCTAATAGACCAAGGATCACAACGATCATTCATAGCGTCTAGGGCACAAAATAGGCTAAAACTGTCAACAAAACATGCCAACTATGAAATTACGGGAATGAGCGGACGAGTAGTACAAAACTCAAATAAAATCTGCCCCATTACCCTAATTTCCCCCCAAGCAGATAAGCGCATTCAAGCAAGTGCTATTGTTTTACCGCAACTAACAAAGATGCTTCCAAGCTATCAAATAAATAGCAAGCATTGGGATAAAATTTCGCACCTGACTCTTGCAGATCCCAACTGCAACACGCCAGCTCAAATAGACATCCTAATAGGCAGCGACCTTATACCGCAAATCATATTAGAAGGTGTTGTAAAAATTTCGAAAACACTACTGGCGCAAAATACCATTTTCGGATGGGTCCTAAGTGGGCTAGTTGCGGAACCAGGCACAGCAATGACAACTCAAGTTGAGGAAATCTCAAACGAGTACCTCAATTCACAATTGAGAAAATTTTGGGAGGTAGAAGAACTCCCCCCAGAGTTGTCTTCAATGCCTCAAGAACCACTAGCTCGGGGAATTCCCTAAATGAGATTCTATTTACGGGACCCACGCTCCAACCAGATTTAATGCTCCTCATATTAAATTGGGTAAGCTATTCCCCCGAATACAAAGTGGAACTACACGGCTTCTGCGACTCCTCTGAAAAGGCATATTGTGCCACTATATATGTGCGTACACAAGCGATGTCGCAACTACAAGCCACTTGTTAGCGGCAAAAGCAAAAGTTGCACCTCTAAAAATGCTAAGTCTCCCACGACTTGAACTCTGTGGCGCTCTGCTACTAGCAAAGCTAGCTTATGGTGCAGACCCACTTAAATATGGCGAAATACAGATTATATCTATGGTCCGATCGCAGATTATGGCAGCACTTCCACTTGAACGCTGCAATTATGCTCTGCCTTTCACCACCACAGGTGTAGATTTTGCTGGGCCTTTTATGATAAAGGCATCCATGCTAAGGTCTCCTACCCTCATGAAAGGTTATGTGTCTGTTTTTGTCTGTTTCACGACAAAAGCAGTACACCTTGAGCTATGTACGAATCTGACGACGGAGACTTTTCTTGCGGCTTTTGCTCGTTTCGTCGGACGACGAGGCTTTCCGTCAAAAATCATGAGAGATAATGGTAAAACATTTATCGGAGCTCAAAGTGCTACCGAAAAACAGTTTGTGGACTTCACAAAACAAGTCTCAACGAACATTGTCCAAAAATGCGCACCCCAAGGTATCAATTGGCAGTTTATCCCCCAAGCGCCCCTCATATGGGCGGCTTATGGGAGTCAGCTGTCAAATCTCATTTTAAAAAGATAGCTGGCAACCACAAATTCAATTATGAAGAGTTCACGACACTCTTAACAAGAATTGAAGCCGTTCTTAATTCACGGCCTCTCGCTGCACTCTCGCAAGATCCCTCAGACTTTACTGCCCTCACGCCAGGGCATTTTCTTAAAGGAGCGYCCATTCTGGCCACACCTGAGCCAGGCGTGGAGTCGCTGTCCTTATTAAACCGTTGGGAAAGATTTAAAATACTCCATCATGACTTCAGTCGCCGATGGAAAGATGATTATTCAAAGGACCTCCACAGAAGGTACCGATGGAAAATCACAGAAAACAGTAGCAGCACCTAGAACCACCATCGCTGCCGCACCTCCCCGAGAAACTCCATCGGCTCCGCGCAGTGACCCGCAAGCACTAGCTCCGGAGCAGCCACAGCGTCAATGCGCGCTATGTCGCCGACGACATCGGTTGCCACATTGTGGGATCTTCAAGGGGATGACGCCTTTGCAACGCCAGCAGGTCGCACAGGCACACGGCCATTGCCTGAATTGCTTGGTGCCTACCCATCTCACGCGCGAATGCACGACCGGGTACCAGTGCCAGGTATGCAAGCGGCATCATCACACGATGTTACACCGCAGCGCCGGACCCGACGCCGAACGTCATCATACCCCTCGCGGCCGTACTGCTAGCTGACGACTTCCGCGACCGCAGCCGCGAAGGCAAACCTTCCCTTCGGAGGAGTCCCGCTCCTGGCGCCATCATCCTCATACCACCCCGCATCGGAGGCACCATCCTAGCCCATAAGCCCGTCGTAAGACAGGCCTCAGCAGCGTTGTTGCAACACTGCAACAACTTCAGAGGCTACTAGGCTAAATACTCGCCTAGTGGGGCCAGGATGTACAAATGAGCATCCTCCCCCGGACATCCACACATACACCACACTATCACACCACATCAACTCAACCTCACAACACTGACACGCACCTTCACCATACTCACTTCACAAATCGTCAGGGCTTACAACCCACATTCCAAACTACACATAAGAACACCACACATCGACACCCACATACACGTACACCAACCAAACACATCACACCAGCTGATTCCACAAAGCAAAGGGAAAAAGGGAACTATAAGGAGATCAGCAACTTCAGTTCGCCCTTGACCTTCGCAGCGACTTGTATCCCTGTGCGATAATTTCGTTTTACGCACCAATCGAGCACATCTTTTTCGCGAGTTATTCACTCCACGTGCGACCGGAGTTCTATTTCATACATTAGCTACCTTAATAATAATAAAATAATTATATTATATTATAAAATCTTTTCAATAAACCCTCTTGGGCATTCCCAGTTGATTCAACCTTACGCGTGTGCATATACACTAACGTTTATTTCGCTCGGAAAAATTGTGGTGGTGTAAAAGGTGAGTGCGGATTATTTACAGAGACTATGTATGTTCATTTCACCAATGGTGATGAGTGTGGTAAAAACAAACATAATTACAATACAATGGTTTAAAAACCGCAGTAGATTAAACAAATTTTACAAAAAAAAAAAATAAAAAATAAAAAAATTCTCAACCGTGTTACTTCAAATCCGTGTAAAAAGAGACCGTGTAAAAAAGAGTTGGATGTATGTACAAATAAACTCCAACCTGCTCGATTTCCATTTAAGTAAAAACACATATGTATATTGTTATTTTTAATATTAATATGCACTCGTCGTCTACAAGCCAGAAAGAAGGTGTCTAGGTACGCAAGTGCATAAAAAGTAATTTTAAACAAAAGCTCGTAGTCAGAGAGAGGGAACAAAGAGAGAGTTTTTTTTCTTTCTAAGATTTTCTTGGTTCTATCCCTCTCCCACACACACAACACTATTTTGAATCTGTGTATTCATATAAAGTCATTTATGACTTTTGTATTTTCAGCATTATCTTTATTTCACTTACTTTTATATATTGTTAAGTAAAAAAAAATTTAAAAAAAAAAAGCTAGGCTTACATTCTAGGAGATGTATCTTATTTCTAAGTAAAGAAGGGCATGGGTGCTAGCTAATGATGTATTTGACACATTTGAATAATAGCAGAGAACGGACAAGCGTGTGAACTGTCAAAAGCTAACAAAATGCGATGAGCGTGTTTCCCCACAGCTAGCTAAGGAGGAGAAATTTTTACCTGGCACGTGAACAGAGTTGAGCATTCAATGAAAATTAAGCGCAGAAATATATGTGAATACATACATTCTTATTGCATACGTATGTTAGCCTCTTGAATATAATATAATTTTATACGTTTACATGCAATCATATTAATTGATATGATTATCATTTTGCGTATTTCAATGAATATATGCAGAATTTATAACATTCTAATTAAATTATCATATTTTCTAAAGAATATTTGTAGTTAATGTGCAAATAAGAGGCTGACTTCGTAAATGCATATTGCAAAGCCTTAACCACGAAATAATGCGCAACTCATGCAAAACCTAAATGTATGGCATTACTGTTTTACAAACCTATGCAATAAATATTACATATGTTTATGAACGCAGCTATGCAAAGCATCAGTTTGAGAACTGTCAAAGTTTTAATAATGAGCGCAATCTTAAAAAATGTATTAATAAACGCAATAGAATTGGCTGAACCAACATCTAGCAATATTAGTAGCACAAAAAAAAAATCCTGGAAAGAAAAAAAGAGTGCGTGTGTTATGCATTCAACACATTAATTATAGGAGAAACATCGTTAAGACAAACAACTTTTGCCAATCTATTTTGATGATGGAGGATGATGTTTTCTACTCCCATTTTCGAATGAGCCGGGATACTTTTAAGATATGTAACTTTTTAAGGTAATTTATTTACAATGAATTGCAATTATTTAGGTTTTTCAGAAATTGGCCACCATGATCAAGCCCTTTYGGAAATTGGGCACCAAAGGTCGCATATTTGGAAAGTCAGCAACAACACATCATTCCGTGATATCAGCGATCGATTTGGGGTGGCTATTGGTACTGCATATAAAGTGTTCATATTGATAATTAATCTTATTTGTCGATTCAAAAGCGAGGTAATTAAGTTACCAAATACGCTTGACGAACAAAGGAAAACAAGCGAGAAATTTTTAGCAAGTCGCCGCAATCCGTTCCCATTTGTTCTGGGTTGCATTGATGGTACCCACGTCCAGATATCCCAACCTCTTAGAGATGAAGTCAGTTTCCATAACCGTAAAGGAACCTACTCCATCATTATACAAGTAATTACATTAACTGCTTAATTTTTGAATATAAATATAATAAAGTTATAATTAATATATTACAGGCTATTGCTGACAGTGAAATGAAATTTACTGAGGTATTCATAGGTTGCCCTGGCAGATGTTATGATGCAGCAGTATGGCAAAACAGCCCCTTTAAAAGATCAATAGCAAATAGAGTTATTGTAATACCTAACAACTATCATCCGCTTGGAGATGGTGCGTATCCACTCGAGATGAATTTAATGGTGCCCTATCGAAACAATGGCTTTTTAACCACACAACAATCGAAGTTTAACGCAGTTTTGAGTTCAACTCGCGTTTTCGTTGAGCAAGCTTTTGGTATTTTAAAAAAGAAGTTCAGAATTTTAAAATTTATTGAAGTGCAGCGCCCGCAGCTTCCGAAAATTATTATAAAATTATTTCATAACATAATTATTATGAACGAAGGAACAGACAGCGAAATCGATGAAGACCTACAGGATGATAACGAAAATAATAATACACAAGAAGCTATACATCAATCAGGACAGAGAACCTGAATCTAAAAGAGATGCTTTTCCCACATTTCTTTCTGCGTAAATTTATAAAACAAATGCCTTAGCAATATTCACGCCTACACTTGAAAGTCTTTAAAACTGAATACCAAAAAGATTTCTAGAAATTCTAGTTGAATTTTTCTACTCTTTCTAAACCGTTTTAAGTTTGAATCTATATTTTTTATATAATTAGCTAGACTTATAAAGAATTAGCAAATATTAAATAAAAAAAGAAAAACAGTCAATGCTTTTTAAAATATCGCATATATTTTTTTCCAATAGTATAAAAAAACTAAAATAAGTTTTATGCTATAAATTCAATACTTATAATACTCATACATTTAAATTATTCAGAATACCCTTGTTGATACCCTAGATAAATATTTAATTTTTCTGCCATGCTTTCGAATAAGAGGCGAATCTGCTTTACCTCTTCCAGCTTCTCCCTTTCTATAGATACTTTATCTTTTCCCGTTTTTAAAAGTTTTTGAATTGTCGCTTCATCTTTTTCGAATTCTTTTATTAAAAAATCAATCACATCATTTTTCTTTCGCTTTATACCCAGGGTCGGTGTTAAATTTATGGATGGTGTCTCAGTAACCGAAGAGATGGCGCTTTCACCTGTAAGCGTATTCAGTAAGTTTTCAATTGAAGATTCCGTCATGTCTTCTGGCAGTTGAACGCAACTCTGACTGAAAAAAACCTCATCCAACGCCTCAAAATACTCGCAGTTTGTGGCACTTTCTCCTGAGGTATGATTTCGTTTTTTGATTCGTTTGTACATAATCATTATATTCATAAAACAGCGGATTATTTCATCTTTAATAAAAGGAAACGTTGCCTCTACGTCTTTGATTTCTTTGAATGAATGGAATGGAATTTTTCTTTCTTTTATTTGATATGCAATCTCCTTCATACCGCAACCTAGTTGTAATGAGGAGAATTTTCCGCTCGTCTGGACATTTCCTTTCGCTAAAATTAGAAAATTTTGTAGAAAATTCTGGGTTTTTATTTAATTTTACTTAAACTTACGCATAAAATTTGTCATGCGTAAAATTGACAACTAATGCGCATGAAAAAGAGTTGCCATTAGCAAATGAACACACTGCATTGTCAGAATACAAAGCAGTGTTGTAAATGAACATTATGCTTTCTCATTATGCTTTGCAATATGCATTTACGAAGTCAGTCAGAGTTATTTATTAAATATTCTTATGTTTGAGAATATAATATAATTTTATATATGAATATGTTTGTAAAAATATGAAATATGAATATGAGATACTCTCATAATACCCTCAAAAACTTAATATATTACAAAAATATTGCACGAAAATTACATTTGTTCATTGTACTGCTCTATATGTACATCCATGTCCATATGTGTACGGCATTGCCCAACAAATAATGTATACACAAACCAACATACAAATAAGCGTTCACATGTAAATATGTCGCCCACAAAAACTGCATACATTGTTCCACAAAAACAACAATCGTCTCAAGTAGCATCGGCAGCATCACAAGTCAATACGACAGCCAAATAGTTGATGCCCAAAATTTGTAGAAAAACACACAACAACAACCTTTTTTTTCATGCACGCTAGCGCGCTTTCAGCAGGCAAACTCGCTTCATTCATAAAGCAAACACCATCACATCTCCCCGAACAAACCTTTGCTTACAAGCGTAGTTTCGCGACGATGGCAAAAGCTAAAAATCATAAATTGAACAATTTCTGATATTTGCATGGGAAGGAAAAAGTGACCACTCCGCTAATATAAGTATACAAATATATTAAAATAAAATTGACAACATAGTTTATTTGTCGATTTTCAAGTCAAGAAATGTGCCAAAGAAAATATTCAATATTCCTCTGATTTATGTATACAGTGAATCCCGGTTAAGAAATAACTCCACTTTGATAAAAATCAAATATCTTAACTGCCCATATCTTGCTGCGTCTCACGGTTTGTTTTTTGAAATACATAGAGATTATTGTTTCAAGTACCACTCGCTTAAGTATCCGCACTCGCTTACGTACCATATTATATTTTTATTGTTAAGAACCACAAAAATCTGTACGTTTAATTTTGGCACATAGCCGGAATTGACTGTATTTGTCAAGGAATGTACAAAATATTTTTATGCGGCTTGCAAAAAGCTGCGTCGATATGTATGCATCTTCATACAAATACATACATATTTACACAAGCGATCGTTCGCATATTTTTCCGCACAGCTCGGATTTTCTACCAACAACACAATGTTGTGATGCTCTGTTGTCATGTCAGCCCTTCAACACATTGAATCTTTGAAAAAACTTGAGCTTCAGCCATTGGTTGCCCATGAAATGAAGATTTCGCATGAAGCAATAAGTGTACACATTTACATACAATTTATTTTTTTTATTTTCGGTTAAAAAAAAGGATTTTATTTTAATTACTTGACTATGTGTTGGGAAGACTATGTCTTCTTAGTCCAATCTTACTTATTAACTACTTAACCACTTAACTACTGAATTGAGACTTATGTTAAAAATTAGTTATTGGAATTTGAAGTGTGTGAGCAGCGATCATCACATGCAGTGCAACGTGACCGTGCATTCAATGAAGACGCTACGTCAGCATTTTTGGGTCGCGCGTGCAACGATCGGAAATGGGCTAAACAAAATTTGGGACGTAAACAGGAAATGATAGTCAGCGAAAGTATAGCAAAAATATGCTCATACGTTTCGTAATAATTATTGAGAAACGTAAATATGTTTAGTGTTAACTTAAATATGTTTAGTGTTAACTCCTCCCTTCTTAATTTGATTGTCCTCAATCATTTTAGAAAAAGGGGATATTATTCAATCTTGGTGGTTTGCTAGGAGCTTCTAATTCTATTGGCTTGAGAATATCAATATAAGATGGTAATTTCATTTCTGTATGGGGCTTTAAACTAAAAACTAAAAACTAAAATTTCAAACTTGCAATAGAAACGATAATTAGACTAAGAATAACAGAAATTGACCATCCTCCGATTTTTAGATGTTTTTGAATGGTTGATATAACCTCCGCATTATTAATCTGCAATTAATTGAGAGCTTCGACTCATAGCAGGTTAATGCGGTCACTTTCAAAAGGAGTAGGCTGCATTAATGCAGGAATCATTTGTGGAGGTGAGGCCTCTATGTTACTGAAAATTCTATTGTTAGCTTTAATAGTGATATTATGAAATTTAATAAGGAAGGTGCCAGAAAGATTTCGCATCGTTCTAATTATTTAGTAGGACAACGCCAGATTCGATTTCTTCGATTAATGGGATGTGATGATTAATGCTCGTTACACATGTATAATTTTGACTACTTATTAGATTAGGAATACATTTTGTATCTGAAATATTCTTTATTTCATCTTCTTTACAAATTCATATATTATTAAAATTTTCACAATCATTTACCATACCATAGATAGTTTTTCCTTTTTTCAAAATCCGTTTAAACTCTAAATTAATTATAGTTTTCCTTTTTTATTGGAGTGCATCTTCGGAACTCACGAACATAACATTTTCTTCTCTAATTTTACTTAAAGCAATTTCAATTTATTTTTTGTCTAATATCGATGGGTTTACACTTCCAAGCTTTGCCCATTCGATTCCATTTTAAATATTTATTAATTCTTCTTTGATTAATCTTACTCTGTTTTGTAAATTTATAACTATTTCGTTTTCTAATAATACATCTTTTCTTATGGCATTTGAAATTTTATTTACCATATTTGTCAGGTTATATAATCTTTTATTAAAGGTTCACATAAACTTGTTTATTATTATTTTTATTCAGATCATTTATATTATTAGCTATTATTTCAAAGTCGTCGTGATCTGGTGATAATGCGACGTAATTCCAAATAGAACCTATGGCATTTAATGCCCTTTTATTTTTTATAGCGGGTTTTATATTTTATACAATATTTTCGGTAAGTCTTAATTCGTGGGCCAGGATAGGATACAGGTTATGGTGATTTGGGATGTTTTGTTGGATAAATGTACGGGTGTTGGATGTGGATATTGCGTACTGTGAAAGGTCTATTCGATGTAAAATAGTAAAACTTCCATGCTGAATTTTTGATGTACCTCTACTGATCGTGATAACGTACGAAGACGTATAATCCAAAATTTGGATCTCCGTCGCCACACAAGTTAGGAAGAATCTGAAAAAATATTTTATTGTCTTTTAATATTGTTTTTGTGAACAGGCCTTTCCTGCCATCGTGAGGTCGGTTGCATTCCTATCTTCGTTAACTATTTCTTTTTTAAACCTTGGCGTAAGTTTCGATCCTAATCTCCTGTTAATAACTTTTAATTTCATGCCTAATTTGGTTATGGTAGTTTGAGTCCTGTTTTTGTTTTTCTGTCAAACGATTATTGATGTCTTGTTTATCCCAGATAGCTATTTTTAGATCATTATTTAAATTTCTGTGGAAAAATATGTCTATAGGGTTTCTACCGGTGGTGGAGTGAATTGATCTGTTATACTCGTGTATTGTTCTTGTAAGTAAATCACGAAAAGTTTTATGAAGTTTATCTGGTTTTATGCATCTCTTAATCGCTGAAAGGGTAGAATGAAGTCTTTCTACTTGACCATTAACCGAGCTGGAGTAAGGAGATGTAGTAAAGATTTGTAWGCCAAATTGCTCTTTGAGGAGGAAATTTATTGTTGCGGAATTTAGGGATTTTTCGTTATCTATGACCATGGATTTAGGGATGCCGAATGCCAAAATTATTTCTTTAAACGGTTCTTTGATATCTTCAACCGCTTTTGATTTTAAACTTTTCGCTAAAGCATACTTTGAAAATTTATCTATTGCGGTGAGTACAAGGTTTACTTCGGTGGAGAATGGTGAATTCCGCACTACAACCCTATAAGTCCTGTTAGCCGTCCAATCGAACATCATACAAAATTCAATTTGCACCTTCTCTATGTTTATACATGGTTGATGCAGAGAACGTAAAGTATAGAGAAGGTGCAAATCGAAATCTGTATGATGTTCGATTGCGCGGCTAACAGAGCTGATAGATTTATAGTAGGGAATTCACAATTTGCCATTCTCTGGCAAAAATATATGTAAAACGACTGAATTCATGCGAGAATAAATAAAGAGAAATGCTTTGTAGAAAAATATACAAAGTCACACAAAGAATGTAAAAAAGCATTCTTTGAGTCACATATGCATGCTTATTTTGTATGATATGAACACATATGCATGCTTAATTTATATATTATAAATCCATTAATGACCTTCATGAAATATATTTCCATATTCGTAGCAATAGAATTTCTATGGCATATACATATATACATACATAGTATATTATTTCTTTTGTACATTTGTCTGTATGTTTGCGAAAACAAATACGAGCCACATATGTACAAACAACCAATAATGGCCGCGCGGATCTATGTTGTCACGGGCAACCAAGGCCAAAGCGCACGACAAATGTCTTGCTAGTAGAAAATCGGAGTTGTGCCGAAAAAATAAAGTAATGGCCGCCGATTGTCACCTCTTCCCTTGCCGCTGTAACAGCTTCGCCTACAAACGTGCGTAAATATGTATGTATGCATACGTATGAGCGTGAATACATATCGACGCAGATTTTTGCGAGAAGCATCAAAAGTGGTTCAATCTATGATTTTTAGCTTTTGCCATCGTCGCGAAAATACGCTTGTTGGCAAAGTCATGCTCGGGGATGAATGAATGAAGCGAGATCGCTTGTAGAATTTGCGCCTGCGTTTATGAATGAAATATTCATATGTGAACGCATATGTATGTTTGTATGCTTGTGCATTATTTGTTCGGCAATGTATACAAATATAATTTCTGAACGCGCACATGCGTATAC